ATCTATTTACACATTTTTCCAAGGGTAAATTGGGGAAAATGTAAGTATATACTCGTTGTCAATAATGATGGACATTTTGAAACATGAAAAACTATTGATTTAAAAAATACGCACTTGTCGATCATTGGTTTATACGCCTAGATAGAAAGTTACGGAACTATAGATAGTCGCAATTTAAAATTGTATATTGAATATAAGAAAGAACATCTAGAACCAATTTGATTTAAATACAGGTCGATATCTAGCTTGCTTTGGTTCATCGAAGTTATGGACATAGTAAAATCACAGATTTATATTTCAATTAGATTGTTCTCGAACAGTTGAAGAAATTCGTCATCATCACAATTGTTGGGTATAATGTATATTAATGTGAACATGGTTCTAATAGAACCTTATGCCAATTTTCCTGTTCCGACATGCATGTAATATATATGCCACTGGACGTACACTAATGATCCCCAAAAGTTTATTGAAGAAATAAAGAAACTTCACTCCGGATAGACTGATAGTAGTTGTATTAACGTCTGATCAGCTTGAGGGTTGATAAATTTATTACGTTAGCTTGTGGGGGAATAAACCATTCCCACTATTGCACTTATGCATAAAATATTAAATAAGAGTAATATAAGAGAAAATATAAATACGAAAAGTCGCATATCTGGTAAAAAAAAAGTCTCACCAACTATAGGATTTCACGTACAATTGTCATTATGATCGAAATAACGGACAGTCATTAAAATACATGCATGTACTCTTTGATAAAAAGGGGTGCCGCAGTTGCATATTATTCATCATAAATCTATTTCAAGTTTATACTTTCCTGTTATTCTTATCAGTTAACGCAGAGACATGTAACTATACATCTCTAGTTAACGACAATCAACTATATAAATATCTGAATCTGATGTGACTTGCCGTTCATCTCTAGTGGTTCATCTCTTTCTTTTTTTTTCTTCTTTTTTTTTTATTTGGGCAGGAACAAAAACATTGTTAGATATAATGTTCCCAGGTTTGATGGGGGGGGGGGGGGGGGGGGGGGGGGGGTTGGAGGTCAAGTCTATCGAAAGTTACAAAATAAGAACGTTGTATTTATGAATTTACAATAAGAATTCTGTTCTTGGACGTTGTTTTCTCCTTTCTTTTTTTTTTAGTTCAGTGATTTAAATTGAGAAAAAATCTAGTCAGAATTTAAATCGTTCCGACAATCCCCCACCTAATACTCCTCTAAAATCATGAATGGTTATGCTTCACAATCATCAGAATTTACTTTGCATTGGTACATTCTGTATCGGTAGTGATTAACCTTGACGTTTCCGGGTATAACAGAGCTACTTGTATATTACCTGTATGTGGTTAGGTACATCGTCCCATGAGGTCTTACGTATACAGGTTCACATTTATAATGCTTTCTGACATAACAAGGTTTTATGACATTCACACTTTTGCATGTTCTGTATACCAGTTTCTTATCTTATTTTCAGACCGAATGAGGATGTGAATATTTTCCAGGAAAAATATTGAGTATCAAAGTATCAAATTAATTTCGGGATTTTTTTCTTTCTTGGTATTAAATCACAGAAATTTAAAGATAATACTGCTTATAGATATAAGAAGATGTAGTATGAGTGCAAATGAGACAACTCTCCATCCAAGTCACAATTTGTAAAAGTAAACCATTATAGGTCAAAGTACGGTCTTCAACACGGAGCCTTGGCTCACACCGAACAGCAATTAAGCTATAAAGGGCCCCAACAAATTACTAGTGTAAAACCAGGAGTATTCTTGTCAGTTAAGACAGACATATAATCATATGTATATATATGTCTGCGGTATAGACATGGTTTATGAATGAATGATAAGTCTTACAAAGGTACAAGATATAAAGCACATTGAACATTGATTCCGCCGGTCTGTCTCCATTCAATAAAGGCAAGTTGACGTTAGATTGATTCTGTAAAAAAAATTTAAACATCGTTGGTCAAATAGCTAAAGTATTTGTTGTGAGATGTAGAAAATTTTAATAAGGACATTCCCGATTAGGTAAATGTAGATCGCTTTGGACGGACCAAACTATATTAATGTAACTGATAATTTTCCCTGCACATTTAAATATTCAAGGTTACCGATGATAATTCAAAATAGCACAGTTTTTGGTTTATACGCTCGTTTTTGTGGGCCATTTTTATTTATAAAATTATTTCATTGAAAGTTATTCAGAATTCCGATGTTACAACAAAGTACTCACCCATCTATTTAAAAACTGAGCTAACGCAAAATATAAAAAATATATATAACGGCGGTTCAGGTATTTTGCCACCATATTCCTCCCCAAATGATTATTTTTTTCTGTCTCAAACCCACATTTCTCTTTTATCATTTTTTTTTTTATGTTTTTCAAACCGGAAAATAATTTTTGTTCTTAATTATTCGATCTCATTCCAATAAGACAAAGTTGACCTTAAATTTCCTGTCAACTTTTTAATTATCTTTCTTCAAATGGCTGAAGTATTTATACGTTGTGAGATTTAAAATATTTTGATAAGGACATTAATTCCTGAATATGTAAAACAAGATCGCTTTGGACGGACCAAATTATATAATTGCAATTGGTAATTATCTATTTCAAATATTCAAGGTTACCGATTCTAATTTAAAATAGTACAATTTTTAGTTCATACACTCGTGTTTAGAATTAAATTAATTCAGTATTTCATTGTTACAAAAATATTCAGCAGTCATAATTCATTTTAAACTGAGCCTATGGAAAATATAAAAATATACCACGGCTATCCAGTTATTGTGCCACCATATTACTCCCTCAAAATAATTATATTTCTTTTTTTATTTTCTGTCTCAAACTATCACTCCCGTTTATCATTCATACGAAATGATGTTCACACCTGGAACGGTGAACCGTGACGGCTAAAATTCACTGAGTGAAGATCAAAAGATTAGAATTACAGAATGCAAACCTTTAAATACCTTGAATTTAACCACGCATTCAACAGGTACTAAGTGTCACAGTACAATACACATTGTATTTACACGGTACTAGCGGGAAATGTTTGCTAGACTGAAGTAAAAGGTGAGAATACAAACATGCATTTTTAATACACTATTAGTTAAATATGTTTGTTGAAAATATCCGTCGGAAAAAAAATTCATAAAAAAATTCTATTGTATGATTTACTTTTAATACTATAATGACTATAATCATATCAGAAATCCTTAAAATATAAATCGTACATTTTATTTTTAAAAGTTGCACGGCTGATCACTTTACTTTCTTAATTATTAGTTGGTTAATAACTACGCCAAGAGTCGTCGATGCGCTTTAAATCGCGTTATTAGATGATTAACGAACAAGACTTAAATGAGATTAATTCCACTCCCGGCATGCAAAAAGACTTAAACTACGTCACAGAAGTCAGGAAGTTCGAATAAATAAAATTAATAATTCCCAATTTTCTTCTTTATTAGTTTTCATATCCAGATAAAACTTGGTGAATATGTTTTTTATGGTATTATGAACATAATAAGATGATAAGTAAAAAATCGCGAATTTTCCCTTTAAGTATTCGATATTTATTAAAACAAAGTTTACTGCTCCTGACATCATTGTATATTATTTATATTACATGAACACCATGTGACTATTTTAAATAGACAGGTCTGTGAATTACTTGTAAACATCACGAAAAAAACACTCTGTGTAACTCAAACTTGATTCAGTAAACTACAAATAGAGCATACAAGTAGTTGAATGGCTCTTACACTAAATGCGACCGTGTATTTTGTGAATTGTTGTTGTTAAAAATACATAATGCGAATGAGAAACCCGTTGTTTTAATTATTTTTGAAGACATTTACTTTCAAAATTGACCTCAGAATTTTGGCACTGTACGATTCATTCTCTTTGTAGTTTGTTTACTTTCTTTAGCACCGTTCGTTGTACATTCTTGTACTGTTCGTTGTGAAAAAGCCTATCAATAGGGTAGAAATACGAATGACACGGCGTGACAAATTTTCAAAGCTTTTTTAAGCGAGTTCTAAAACTTTTAAAGGAAAATTCTCCGTAGAAATACGTTATATTCATGAATGTTCTGCTCCAGTAAATTTTCGGATCCATGACAAGCTTTTAGCAAACTCACCAACAATATTTGAATATGCATGATATGAACGTGGTTATACCCGTGTTTATTCAATTAAGCATATACGACTAGCTTGCATTTCAAATTGCAAATACCATCAATATTAAAGTCATTTAAAAACTATTTTCAGTTGTTGCATGTCGAATACATATAAAAAAACAACAATGAAAATTCATCGCACATCCAAAAATTCCACATCAGAAATGATTGCACTTACAGTGATAATTCATCGCATCTATAGTTAAAATGAATCGCATTCAGTAATCAATAATATCAGAAGTCCATTACTAGACGTCTAGTAATGGACTTCTGATAATATGGATTCTGCTGCTTTAATTACACGTTTTGGACTTAAATCCTGTTATTAAACATTAAAAAGTTATATTCTAATGAAATTGTGTTAAAACATACATTCAAATCAATTATTGTGTATTTTCAAAAAGTAAACAAACGCAGTTTTTCCCATCATCCTTTATTCTACAATAGACATACTCGCATACAACAGTGAAAATGAACTAACTGGATTCGCACTTTATATACACTGATATGTATCTGATCTTAGGCCGTTGAGTTTCAATAAGATACATATATAAGTGGAAATTCGTACGTTTTGAGAAAAAAAATTCTTTGAGTCATAAAAAGACAAAAGTTGCTAATAAAAAGAAAAAAGTAATCCCATAAGACAGTAACAATTTACCGAATACTTTGTATAATACTGTTGAATAAAATGTGAACCTTTTCAAAGCCTAAATATGAAATCCACTCGATTCTTAAAATAAAAAATCGAGTTGTGTGTGTTTGTCATCAACGTGTACAGGATAAAACATTGCAATATATATATTTTTACAGAGAAGCGACCACGAGATATGGCAGTATTCATCAACTGATGGAGATCATGGTGGTAATATATTAAAAAAATCCAATCAATAACCTGATATATAAATTACTTTTTACAAAGAATTATAAGTATCATCTATTATATGTATGAAATACAGACATCTTAGAAGCTTAAGTGGTGATAAGTGTGGTATATAAACTCATCATAGATAACAGGACTAAAATTGTACATACGCCAGATGCGCGTTTCGTCTACAAAAGACTCATCAGTGACACTCGAAACAAAAAAGTCAAAAAGGCCAAATAAAGTACGAAGTTGAAGAGAAGTGGAGACTAAAAAATCTGATAATCCTATGCGTTTTTTTCAAATGTAAATTTAAAATAGAAAACATTAGATATTATTAAAAAAAAAAGCTATATGTAAATTCTAACACTGTTCCAGGTTACCTTGATCACAAGTATGAAGGGAAAAAGACTGACACTGGATACACTCTGACACGTCATCATTATAGTTCCCAAACTGTCCTGAGAACACATAAAAAGGTAAGCACTAATTTTGATGCATATACTGCTGATCATGAGTGCTGACAAATATAAGAATATCTTTATGAAACAAATATTTTTGATTTTTCTAAACAATATGCAAGTATATGTCATGAATATGTATCTATCTTTCGAACCAGGACATTAAAGTTCGATAATATTGTTACAGATCTTTGAATTTATTCAGCAAGAGTTAAGAAATGAAATCTGTCAATCTGAACAAACACGAATACTTTCATGTGTATATAATGAACATACACGATCGTCTTATAATGTTTAGAAACATTAGTGTCACGGAATTAATCAAGCTTCTGTCACGAGTCCAACATGCGTTAATATTTAGACATGGTCTGGTTTTTTAATGTTATGTGGAAGTATCAATATATTTTCCTCGCCACAAACTTATCTCAGACATGCACAAAAAGTTAAGTATACAATATTGCTTTATTCATCGATATCATTCTTTCATTTGCACAAAATTATCTTTTATTACAGGTGATGCATATTGACCATTCTGATAATATCATGGAAGTAAAAGCTTTTGATAATATTACTATGAACGGTGATGCTCCAGCCACACAGCGCACTCTCGGGTATGTAACGTACTATTAAAGAATCTTACAAATTCCAGTGCCATTTTGCATCGTAGCACACTTTTCAAAAGCTTTTACAATAGCAACCTGTTATACTGTCATCCCAAGATGGGCAACATAATATTATGGTATAAAGAAAAAGACAAAAAGACGACATTCGAAAAAACAGAAATCCCACCTATACGTACAACTGGTTATATATAGTGAACTCGTGTTCTCCGGTTTGTTAGTAGGTTCTACTCATTTAGTGACATCTATATATAGCTATTTTATTTCACGTTAATGTGATGATGAAGGCATAATAAAATAGCGGTTGCGAAAGTGTCTCGTCTAACGAGATTAATTATTACGATACAAATGAATTCAATTTTCTATAACACTAAGACATAATACATGCCTAATGTGGGAGTGATGCATATGAGTTTTACAGATATATATTCTTCGTCTGAAATTTAGTCCAACATTGTTCGATTAATAAAATTGTTTATAGAAGACTGGTGTATTTTCCTAGAACATCCTTCCGACTTCGGCTATATCTAAACAAAAAATTTGGCAATTAAGTTCTGGATTTCATTTACCAAGTGTTTGTCCACTTTTCTTATTTTCATACACTCATATAGTAATAAATCCCAGACTGTAAAATGTGTACAAGCTATCGTGTAGTTTTATTACACAGATGGGAACCAGGGTCAAATTGAAAAAAATGAGGGGGGGGGGGGGGGGGAGTAGTGTGGACAATGTTAAAAAGATCGCTGCATGAGCACAGTGATTTTTTTTTTGCCAGTAGGTTAAAAGAAACCCTATTGAAACTATGTTTATTCGCACGATTTAACCGAGCGGATACACATGGAACAGTCATCAAAAAGAGTTATATAATACGATGTTTATACAATATGTTAACTCGCTTCGTATATAAAAGCTCCAATTCACTGGATAAAAACTTTTTCAGTGAAACAAATCGTACTTTTTTATATACAAAGACGTGGTAACTTTGTTATAAATACCAAATGTTTTAATTATGGCAGCAGCGTTTGGCTAGGACTATTCTATATTTAGTATAAAAGTCCCAGCGATTGGAAGTTGTAACTCCATCTCAGTGACGAACTATAAACCTTGAGTTGATGATGGTGCATTCAATTCAAAAGCTTTATTTATAGTCGGCATGTCACATAACAAATAAACATAAGCTCTTTGAGCTTTTATACCCGACAAATACATACATTTACACAATAATCATACACAATACTAATATTAAAACATACTGAAAGACATATAACATACATTTCATGCACATTTAGGCTGAACTAATTTAAATATTATATATTATATACATGCATGAGCACTAAGCTAAAAGCAACATAAAAATTAAAGCACAGCAATCACAAATTATAAAAAGCTAAGCAAATTACTTACTTTAAGTGATGGCATATTTTATTTCAAAACGGGTAAGTCTTCATATGTGCTATTGTAATCCTGGTAAATGAAGCGGCGTGCTCTTTCTTGTACTTTTTCAATTTTTGTAGTGCAGAAATGCAGAAATGCCAGGACAATGAGCAGAAATTAAAGTTTGACATAATGAAGGAGTGATATATTGTTAATTTTCCAAGTTTGTTCAAGTATTTGCTAAGTCAAGGCTTTTTTTGAAAACATTTAGTTGTCTGGATGCTTTTTTGCAGATGTTCGATATATGTGTGTTTTAATTTAGTTCAAAGTCAATGGTGATGCCTAATTGTTTGACCTCTTTTTCACATTTTATTTTGTTACTTGCCAAATCAAATGTAATGTTTTTGCCCATTGTTTTTTTGCCAATTGCCAAAGCGTGCATGTACATGGAGCTGGCCTTTGCCAAAAAAAATCGCCAAAGCAGCGGAGGCTGATTATTTTAACATTTTTAATGCCATGCCAATTTTTTTTTTTCAAATATATCTACAGCTGAATCAACCGCATTAATCCACTTAGTATCATAAATCATTTGGGTGAATGGTCCCACCTGTTTGTTGCAGGATATTAGCAGGTTATTAGATATACCAATTTTACAAAGGTATGTAACTCTTTAAACGCGCCTTTTTGAAAAGAAAGTTCCTGCTTAATTTTAAAAGTTTCTGCTTTTCTTACAGTTCACCTTTGCCAGTCGACACAGATATAAGAGTCTATTCTTCAGGAGGTAAAAATCGTAATACTTTATTTTGCTTCGTCTTGAATTGATAGGGCTTGTAAAATAACCGATTAATAAATAAAACATTTGTAAAAAAAAAAAACAACAAACAAATCACATTCTACGAACAGTACAAGAAAAAGACAAAAAAAAGTAAATTAATCTTGACTAATAACCCTAAGCCAAGGTTACATCATCCTTAATATTAATGAAATATTTGCCACTGGACGTTAAGCAACTTCTTCCAACTAACAGTCAATCATTCATCAACCAAAGAGTACAACTACAACATGTACAAGTCAAATTGGCACTAAGTTGATTCAGCAACTATAAAAAATGTCAAATAGGCTTTTTAAAGTTATTATGTTGTACACTTTTCAAATGTATATAATAAATTAAATATCTATAAAAATTTACCTTTAAACATGTACTCGTGTTGTCAATGGTTGTAGATTTGAGTCTGATTTCAAAGTGCCTTACGAATTCCTTGGTATACATGTACATATAACATGTATTCTCTACTAATGAAATATCTAAAATTTGTATTGTAGATTTTCCAGGTATCTCAGCCACAGCTGAAACAAGAGTACAGCTAACACTGAAAAGGTCTTTATACGATAATATTACATATCTTGTAGCGCTCTACTGCTTTCATTGGAAATTACGATCACGTGTTTCAAATGTTATTTTACGTATTCGAAGCCTAATGTTTCTATTTTTAGGTATATTGACGCCATGTTTCTATTTATTTGTATATTGACGGTCAATATAAAAAATCCGTTACTAAATTTAGATCTATGACATCATGATAAAATTGAGAATGGAAATGGGGAATGTGTCAAAGAGACAACAACCCGACCATAGAACAGACAACAGCAGAAGGTCACCAACAGGTCTTCAATGTAGCGAGAAATTCCCGCACATGGAGGCGTCCTTCAGCTGGCCCCTAAACAAATATATATACTAGTTCAGTGATAATGAAGTCACACATAACAACCATAGAGGTAGCGCCGCAGCAGACGATAAGAAATTTGCAAGTTTATCAGATGGAGATATCAAGAATTTTACGTTAAATGCAGCGCTGAGAATACAAGAAAGCTAACACAACAAGCTATTAAGTTGTTCAAAGAATATTGATATTTTCAATAACATATTAAAAAATTTTCAACATACAATTTAACATGTTTAAGAATACACAGAAAGAACAATAAGTGCCATTTTCCTAATACATTATTTACATATGTAATATAAAAATTAAGGAATTTCACTCAGTCAATACGTTATATATGGACCTGCACTCAGACTTTGTCCTCGGTCAATATAATCTGTACAGGTCCATATATAACGTATTGACTTCGTCAAAAGTCCATAAATGTTAAATATTTTATATGCCTTCTATAAATTATGCATATTTTTACATTAAGCATATATACCCATCACCTCTATATAAAGTTGAAATAAAAGTTTAAATCAAAATCTTCTTCAAAAACGTACTATTTGGTATCTACACCTATGCAGTATTTGCAATATATTTGGAAAACTATAATCACTTGATTGGAATATTTGGACAGATTAATTATAAACGGATATTGATTTATAAGTTTAGAAGGAAAGTTCATTCTTGTGAATATAGTGATTATGTCTCAGGCCCATACGAAATAAGTAGAAGGATTCCACCTAGAATCTAGTAGGAATGTAGTAGGAATCTACCTAGAATCAAAGATTCTATATAGAAAGTAGGGGGGGGGGGGAGGGAAAATGAACAAAATTTTGACTGGATTTTTTATTTTTTCAATAGCAAAATCCTACCATCTAGCTGGAGTTTTTAAAGTCTGTATGGATTTTTTTCTGTTTTGAAAATCTTAAGTGGGAATTTGGACAGAAAATATGATTAGATTATTCATTTTCCTACTACAAGATTCCTACCAGAGTTCAATTTATTCCTACTAGAAAATCTTTCTACATGGAATCTTTTTAATTATCTTAAACTGTATTCCTGTTTGCTAATGACACAAATTTTGCTGTGTTAAATGCAACCAAGTTCCAGTTCAGAAATTCAAAAGTAGGAGGGTAAAAGAATGAAAAGTTGTGTTGGAACACAATGCTGCATTTAACAACTACAATATTGAAATATGAGAAAATATGGCTCATGTAGATTGAAGGTAATTTTTATACTTTTAAGATGAAATTTTTGATCTGTTTGTCAATATGTAGTAATCAGTTAATTCAACAATAGTGCATAATTTTACTCATTATTTGTTCATAACTCTTTAATTTCATCTAGTCAACATTTTTGCCCATCTACATATATAACACAATTTCTAGCTTGAATATATCAAAGCTTCCTCATGTACATTTCAAAAGTCAACTTTTTTCAAATGAATATATTCCATGCATTTCCTTTGTTCTTTGTTGCTGAGATTCAAACTTAAATGATTGACCCAGTTGTGTTCTTGTGAATATACACTTACATTTTGTATATTTTTAGAATTCTACTAGAAAATATTTTTTCTATGTGGAATTTTGAAAAATTCCTACCAGGCTTTCTAGTAGGAATTTTATTTTCCCGCCAAATTATTTATATACAATATTCCTACTAAGAAATTCCTGCTAATTTAAATTTTTTGGCTTTTTTCTGTGTGGATTCCTACTACTGTCTGACTGGAATATAACTATTTTCTGTTAGGAATTCAATGCAGTATTCCTACTATATTCCGTGTACATTCTGTGTAGAATATTTCATACAGGTGATTAGAGAATGATTGACTGATCAAAACTAATTCATAATTTTGCAGGAAAATTCATTCTAACGAATTTAGTGATAATGTCATTGATGGTTTAGTAAGAGACAGTATAGTAGTAACTAAGGTAATATCATTTTCTTCAATCTTTCCTTTTTTTCCATTAAAAAAACCACAATTAAACACTGGAGCAAAATATCTTTAAGTAGAAGTCATATTTTTCAAATTCTGAATGCTTGCATTTGTAAATCAAATATCTAAATTGTAAAGACTAATTAAGAACTGACTATAAATTGTGTCATCTATAAGGGGTGATTAATTACCATCTGTATTTACAAAACAAAACTATATAACTTATTTTTGTACATTCTGTTTACTTCATATTACATGTATTACTAACGAACTATTTGATATTGGATGTTTATGAAAATGATGTTCTTATTTGTCTGTTATTTTTTTTTTACTCTAATCATAATTAAACACTTGAATTATAGAAACCTTCAAAACCAACAACATTAAAGGAGACAGGAGAAATAATCAAAGATTTAATCACATGTGTGCAGAGACATCAGAATAAATGTAGGTATACTCTTGATTGGAAAAGTAATATAAGTTGTTTAGTGTCTTAATTCTGATTTTAAAGACCTGAATGACATATAATTATATAGTCAAACCTTGTAGTGTCAAAAACTCAGATAAATCAAGATATTTTGTCAGCCTCTGCAGAATTTCTGTTTGTTCAAGGCAATTCTGATGAGTTAAACTCTGTTGATTTGAAATCTTGGTTTACATTTATGGACATAAGTTAAGCACAATCTGTGGAAGTTCGAAATAAAAGAAAAATCAGGACAAAATGCAGGAGGACAAGAATACTTCTTTAAATTATAAATTTAATTGTGCACCTAAATGGGTTTTCTTAATCAATTCTCTTTCTACCTGTTTTTTTTTTGTATAACACTCAAAGTGGCATGTCAAACTTATTGTTTGGTGAAGCCATTGCTGTTTGACAACACATAAATCATGTAAATTATAGTTGTGTAACACAGTTTACAGACCAAATGACTTGACCCAAACTAGTTGTAACATTAAAGCAAAGATTTCTTGCAAAATTACTTTTGTACATTTACCTCAGGAAATCAAATCTGTTTACATTATAAGACATGGAAAACTGAGGTAAAGGACTAATGAAGGGTCAATGTTAACTAATCTATTTAGTCAGGCACTTCTAATTTGCAATCACTAATTCACCAAATTCAACCTAAAATATTATATTAAGTATATTTTAAGCATTGCCAATTTGATATGTTAGAGAAAATTAAGTAAGATCTAAAAAATATGAAAAGTATTTGGCAAGAAAGTAGATAGGCATTATCTGTTAGATTCATATTTTAAACTGCCTAGAACCTATAGATTTTATATTCCATTTGTAATGTAGGAACATGATTAAATAGCTCCTCAATATTTGATTTAGTCTCTTTATTTTGCAGATGCACCCAAGAGAACAAATTGTGTCAGAAACCTCACATGGGAGGTCGGTAAGCTGGACGAAGAGAGTTTTCTACAACTGTCTCACTCTGCCTTGAATAAAACATGCAGAATCTCAGATATCAAATGTCTGGAGGAGAGATATCTCATGATAGATGTGATATCTCAGATGAGATCCAATGTATCACAACAAATTCTTGTAGACTATGTTTTAGAGAGAAACAACAGTATAGAAGAAGTTAGGAGATGTCTGATTCACTGTATAGCAACAAAACAACCAATACGTGTAAGTAATAGTATGTCCCAATAATATAACATTTAATTGAATGGTGATAGAGGTTAAAATGTCAATGATACAGGGAATCAACATTATATATATATAAGAAGTTGTGGTGTGATTGCCAATGAGACAACTCTTCACAAGAGACCAAATGACACAGAAATTAACAACTATAGGTCACTGTATGGCCATCAACAATGAGAAAAGCCCATACCGCATAGTCAGCTAAAAAGACCCCGAAATGACAAATGTAAAACAGTTCAAACGAGAAAACCAACGGCCTAATTTATGTAAAAAAAAAAAATGAACGAAAAACAAATATGTAACACAGCAACAAACAACAACCACTGAATTACAGGCCCCTGACTTGGGACAGGCACATACATTCAGAATGTGAAGGGGTTAAACATGATAGCCAGATCTCAACCTCCCCTAACCTGGGACAGTGGTTATAGTTAACCAGAGGTGACATCTAGAGTGTGATTGACAGTTTTTAGCAATTGTCAACTAAAAATGCTTGTGCCAAATAAACAATGTGGTATTTTTTCTTTGCAGAACCTTGTACAAGCTGTAGAACATTTATGCCTTGGAAAGAATCACTCATTTCATGGTAATATATTAAATTGTGATCAAGATATATAGCTTTGCCAAGTAAAGAACATTGTTTAATACAAAAATACAATTTTTAAAAGCCATAAAGAATTTATTTGGTAAATATTTCAGTCTTCAAAGTAAGGTACATGTAGCAAACAGACTGTTTAAAAATAAATTAAAAGAAAAGGACTAAGGCATACTGTTTATAGATATAAGAAGATGTGGTATGATTGCCAATGAGACAACTCTCCATCCAAGTCAAAATTTATAAATGTAAACCATTATAAGTCAAAGTATGGTCTGTAAACTTTGAGCCTTGGCTCACACCGAACAGTAAGCTATAAAGGGCCCCAAAAATTACTAGTGTAAAACCATTCAAACGTGAAAACCAACGGTCTAATCTATATAAAAAACGAGAAACACTTATGAACCACATCAACAAACGACAACTACTGAACATCAGATTCCTGACTTAGGACAGGTGCAAACAAATGCAGCGGGTTTAAACGTTTTAATGGTACCAAACCTTCACCCTTATTCTGAAACAATAGTGTAACATCACAACATAGAAAGACACACTATAAAATATCAACTGAAATAGCTTAACTCAATCAAAGGACATATTAACACCATTGAACATACACTGAACAAATTAATTTGACCTATGATACATTGTTTGCCTACATATAGTTGGTTACATTTACTTCATTTAAACTTTGGTGGATAGTTGTCTCATTGGCAATCATATTATATCCTTATTGTCGAGCCTAACTCAACATAGGGATAGTGATCCGGCAGAGGAAATGAACATGTTAATTTCTCTCTTATTATGAGTAATAGGATAACTATATTTGGTATGTGCATACCTTGCAAGGTCTTCATACCCGTCAGTTAGACAGTTTTCACTTGACCTCGACCTCATTTCATGGATCAGTGAACAAGGTTAAGTTTTGGTGGTCAAGTCCATATCTCAGATACTATAAGCAATAGGTCTAGTTTATTTGGTGTATGGAAGGATTGTAAGGTGTACATGTCCAACTGGCAGGTGTCATCTGACCTTGACCTCATTTTCACGGTTCAGTGGTTATAGACTTATAGTTAAGTTTTTGTGTTTTCGTCTGTTTTTCTTATACTGTATGCAATAGGTCTATATTTAGTGTATGGAATGATTGTAAGGTGTACATGTCCAACTGGCAGTTGTCATCTGACCTTGACCTCATTTTCATGGTTCAGTGGTCAAAGTTTAGTTTTTGAGTTTTGGTCTTTTTTTCTAATACTATATGCAATAGGTCAACTATATTTGATGTATGGAAATATTTTATGATGTACATGTCAGTCTCGCAGGTTTTATTTGACCTTGACCTCATTTTCACAGTTTATTGCTCAGTGTTAAGTTTTATTGTTTTGGTATATTATTCTTAAAACTATAAGCATTAGGTCAACTATATTTGTTGTATGGATGGATTGTAAGCTGTACATGTCTGCCTGGCATTGTTAATCTGACCTTGACCTCAATTTCATGGTTCATTGGTCAATGTTTAGTTTTCTTGCTTAAGTCTGTTTCTTAGAAACTATAAGCAATAGGCATGATAGGTCAACTATATTTAGTGTATTAAATGATTGAAAGGTGTACATGTATTTCTCATTTGGTTTATATGACCTTGACCTCATTTTCTTGGATCATGTTAAGTTTATGTGATAGTTGTAGTAAAGCTTTATATTTAGGACTATCAACATAATATCAATGGTTAGTAAAAAAGGCGAGACATTTCAGCATGTGCACTCTTGTTTTTATAAGAGTTTTTTTAAGGAACTTTATTTTCCAAAAGTTTAGAATATATTTAAAATGAAGTTTAGGCAAAATATAGTAGAGTCTGTATATGATGGTCACCCTCGGGCAAAGAGTCAAGGGATTACCGGTCTTATTAGATTTGTCCCCTTTGACACAAAAAAACAAAACCATTTGTGACAAACAAGATGGAAAAGAATATGCTTTTATTGTCTAATTTGAACAGGTAATAAAGATATGACCTTGACACAGAAGAGAGCATGTCTTACCCTAGGAGCTCTGGCTAAGAACCTCAAAGACATTGATAATGATACAGAAGCTCAAAGAATAATAGAAAAGTTTGAGACCTGGCTTGGAATACATAATGAAGGTATTGATAAAATTACAATTCTATTCCCCAATCCAATGATATCCACTTGAGTATATAGATATATCAGTGATATTGGATATGCTTGATCTAGTATGACATCCTTCAGGTAATTTTTTGTAATGAATTGTATTCTATTAGTTTTCTCGTTTTAATTGTATTAAATTTTTCATTTCAGGACCTTTAATAGCCTTTAATAGCAGAATGAGTCCCTCATTGTTGAAGGCTGTACGTTGCCTTAAAATTTTAAGTTCTAGGAAAAAAATACCATGGAAAGTTGTTTTTTTTTGGGCATGTTTTATAAACTTGATTGTTTCATTTATCTAATTTTGCTTTGTATATATTTCAGTGGAGTTTATAGAGATAGTAAAACCAAGAGAAAGACGTTCCATAGGTAGAAAGTACCATGATAGAGACAACCATGTAGCTCTGAAGAGGTCACTGATACATGTTCTGGGGAACGCTGGCCATCCTAGATCTCTCCAGCATATCACATCTTATATGGAGCTGAATAAAGCAAACCCTGAGTTAAGGAGGGCAGCTACCCAGGCATTGAGACAATTTACCTGTAATGAGGTAATATTACTGAGTTAAGGAGGGCTGCTACCCAGGCATTGAGACAATTTACCTGTAATGAGGTAATATTACTGAGTTAAGGAGGGCAGCTACCCAGGCATTGAGACAATTTACCTGTAATGAGGTAATATTACTGAGTTAAGGAGGGCTGCTACCCAGGCATTGAGACAATTTACCTGTAACCAGGTAATACTACTGAGCGTATGGTGAATGAAAAGATTGAGGCATAGATTCAATGTGACAGCTAGCCAAATAGTTCTATGAGACTTTCACATGAATATTATCAAATAGTAATATTTCAATTTTATTCAAATCTGATGAGATCAATTAAAAGTAAAGAAAGTCTGATTGCTTGAATATTCTTCTTTTTGCAGCTTTTGCTAACTGTTTTTTGTTGTTAGAGAAGTAAGGATAAATGGTGGTAGTGTACAGTACTGTACATAGTTATATATTTGGAAATGATTTGTTTTCAAAAACAATATATATATATATATATATATATATATATTGTCTTTATTTGAATTTAATGTTTGGAGGAATTATCTCCCTTGTCTCTAAATATCATATTAAATTAAATGGAAATAATATTTTTATGTTGGTACTTTTTATATGCATTTGAATTTAAGGCTGGGGGTTAACAGACACAACACAAAAAAGTAGAATCAGAAGACATTTAGATGTCAACATTCTAATTTTGACAATAGACAAAAATTATTTTATAAAGATAGATAAATTTAATTGTGACAACAAAAGATTTCCTACTAATATCCTGCTCCCAAATGAAAATGTGAATATGAAATGAACTTAAGCTGTTTGGTGTGAGCCAAGGCTCCGTGTTGAAGGCCGTACCTTGACCTATAATGGTTTACTTTTATAAATTGTTACTTGGATGGAGAGTTGTCTCATTGGCACTCATACCACATCTTCCTATATCTATTAAGATATAAAGTTCAGATTGCTGCACCTTTACTCAGATATTGTAACCAACACAAATCCTATACATGGTTTTTGATGATTATAAAAGTAAAAATATGTGGTATGATTGCCAATTAGACAAATCTCCACCAGAGACTAAATAATGTAGAAGTTAAAAACTATAGGTCATCTTATGACCTCAACAATGAGCAGAAACACATACCTTATAATAGATAATTCTGCTCTTTTATTCATGTCTACATTAATCCTCTAGGGGAAGATAGATGAATTGCATTTTCATGTATATATTTCAGAGTGCTGCACATCTATTAAGATCTACATTGTTTGACTCTGAAGATGTTGTCAGACATAGCGCCTATGAGATTTATATGGAACACCCTGAAAGTAAACAGCTGACCAAAGAGCAAGAAGATGCTGTATTGGCGTAAGTTTCAGAGATTTATTTTTGTGTCATCAATTTCGCTGAAATAGTAAACATTATTGATAAGGGGCCAGCTGAAGCCCGCTTCTGGTTGCTGAATTTTCTCTCTGTGTTAAAGATCCATATGTGGCCTTGGGCTGTTTTCTGTCTATAGATAGGTCTTTGTCTCTTTGGCACATTTCCGTTTCCATTCTCAATTCTATTCTTAAAAAACATCTCATATTTAATGTATACAGGTTTTAGGGTTCGCTCTTACTTATATTTAGTGCTTCCTTTAATGCCAAATTAGAGTTCTGACCCCAATTTCGTGGTCCACTGAACATGGAAAATGATAGTGTGAGTGGGGCATCTGTGTACTATGGACACATTCTTGTTCAATTTCATATAGACTAACAATGGAATTACACAGAACTTTGTCAGAATCCCTCATATTCAAAAATATTGAATTTAATATCCATACAATATATACATGTCTTTACAGACAACACTATACTTACCCAGTTGTTACAAGGGTAAGACGAGGAACTATAGCAGACATTCTGAAGGCATTAAGTTTCCATCTTGGCATGCCAAAGTTTGACTGGAGTAAGACAGTTGGCAGTAAGAAGTTGGGAGCATCCTTTGGATTTAGACAGGAAAATTTTGTAGACTTACATCTAGGTATGACTCTAATTACAAATGGAAGATCAAAGTATATAATATAATGAAAGACTTTCAAAAGCATGGTTTTACTTGAAGTTGCCATTCCGCTTTCAATTGCTAGCCAATTCTATATGACATAAATATTAATATTAGTAATAGACTTAATATAATAGTGAAATAATTTGATAATAATAGTTACTGTTGTAATATTCAACATTGGATTACTTCCTAGCATTGGCCCTTAATCAGTATTTGTATGTCAAGTATTTAATACAAAAATAAGGGGAGTGTCTGTTTGTTGGTTCACACATCATTGTCAATATAAAGGAATTTGATGCGATTTTTATGATTGCCAATGAGACTAAAATCAACCAAAGTTAAACAAAGTGGATGTATTAAAGCTATTATAGGCAACAATACAGCTTTCAAACAATGAGAAAAATCCCATACCGTATAGACTGCTATAAAATTTGCTTTCTTGTGATCTTATACCTTTAATACATGTACCTTATATTCTGAAATAAGAGATTGACACCCAAATCTGTTTCCATACAGGTATGGCATATGAAATATGTTGAACAAAAATTATTTCAAAAATCAAAATCAATTAAATAATATTTGTCCTGTTTTTCAGAGCCATTCAAAGGGAAGTTTGAACTGAAAGTAGATAACCTGGCTTTTGCTGAAGTAAATGTTGGTCTCATTGGGAAGAAGTTTGACATCTTTAGAGTGTCCCTTTGTTACAAGAAAAAAGTGGAATACGATCTTAATGTGCTTAAGGTAATAGATAACCTAGCTTTTACTGAAGTAAATGTTGGTTGTTTGCATGACATCTATTTAGAGCGTCTCTTTATTAAAAGAAAAGAGTTCAATACAATCTTAATATTTGAAGGTAACAGGTATTTAGAATTTATAAAACTTCAGCTTTTATTGGAAGTAAACTGCATTTAAATTACAGTATCAAAGGTTGTGTTCCATTTTGTAAGATTTGAAGTTTACTTCTCCAAAAGTAAGTCCTTCTTAAGATTTCAAGGTTTCTTAATGATGCTCTATGTACAGTCTAACCATATCTTTCCCGTTTCTGCACAGTTTGAGGGACAATTAAAAACACTACTAGTCAAACTTCTGATAACTACTCTAATTTTAATCATTTATTTACCACAAAGTTAGCTGTAAAAGGCCCCGAATTGACAAATGTAAAATGTTAAACCAATCCCAATTTAGCTTAATTAGATATAGGATTAAGCATATTTAAACAATACAGTAAAAGGACTATTGCTGAAGTAGATTACTACCCTGTATTGTTATGAACAAGCTGTAGATTCAAACATTTTTGTTTGTAGAATTGAAAGTGAGAAAAATTTGGTAATTTACCTTATTTTGTAGTATCATTATTTTGGTTATTTCAAAGTCATTAAACTTGTATGGGTTTAAATATTTTATGCTATCATTCCCCATTACCCACAAAAATGTATTTACCAACAATATCAATGCACACAGTTTTACCTTTTCTATTTCCCAAAAAAGTTTTGATTTTTGATATTTTTGTTTCGATAATACTAAAAAAGATAAGGTTTTTTTTCTTCAGGACTTTGGTTTTGATGATATTCAGAATGTAGCCACACTATTTGACAGACTTTACAACATGATTATAGATCCAGTCGTAGAAGCTGCAAAAACCATAAAAGAACTTATTGAGATGGTGACAGAAATGACATTTGTTCAACTTGTCAAGGAAATCATACAAATATTCAAAAACCTCCCAGATATAATTCACAAAATAGTTGAGTCGGTAGTCACTGCATATCAAAAACTGATTGATTATGATGGATATCCTTTAATAGACAGATTCAAGAAAGTGGTTAACAGAGTCACGACCTTTATCAACGATATCAAATCTGATGTGTTAGGATTTTATCATGTAAGTGAACTGTTCCAACATAATGATTAGTTGAGACTTGGATAATTATTTTTATTTATTTAAGAATTAGTTAGGGTCAGAATTATTTGAGCACTGCACATGTTAAAAATCTTTAAAAAAAAACAAGCCACTGTGTTAATTATTATAAAAATAATGTGTCCCACAGTTTTTTTTAAAGATAAGGTTTGTGCAAAATTGTCAGATTTCAGATGGATTACATAGAAAAACTACTTTTGTTTGAATAGAAAGACAACTAGAAATAAAACATTTCTTTATAGAATAAAATTATTGGAGTGAACTCCCCTTACATCAGTATTTAAAAAAAAATTGTCCTGAACATGCATGAAATAATTTCCACTGGATGTTAAACACCCAACAATATTTCTAAAAAACAAAACATAAAAAAAATAATTCTGCATTGGTAAAAAAAATTTCTACAAATGAAATTCCTTAGTTTTTTTAATAGTAAGCTATGAAAGGCCCCTCAAATGACAAAATGAGAAACAAGTCTGCTTTTAAACAAATATTTCATGTTTTCACATGTATCAGTTTTAATGTCAGTGCATATTGTTTGTTTCAGTGTATTGGATTGTAAAATGAATGTTGTATGTTATAGAGTATAGCAGATGCAATGACAGTAACTCTACCATTTGTGGCCCATGAGATGGGAGAAGGATTTATCTTAATTAAAGATATCTGGTTTTAATTGTTTCAGTGTAGTTATGTTAATGAATATTGTATGTTATAGAGTATAGCAGATGCAATGACAGTAACTCTACCATTTGTGGCCCATGAGATGGGAGAAGGATTTATTTTAATCAAAGATAGCTGGAAATTCTGGGAAAATCCTGTGCAATCATTTAATGGCATTGAAATGGCACTTCTCAAGTAAGTACAAACAATTTATTGGACACAAATGTCCATGAAACTATATTTTTTTTCCTCAATCCACTCAGAATGATGGTCATATTTAATTTCAATGAACAAATTTATATTAAAATATGTCCCTCCTGATTTGTTTTTGAGGAACCCAAGAAATAATTTGTGTTGCTTCAAATTCCAAATTAACAATAATCTAAGGTTACCTCAATGTGTTAATTTTCAGATTTAAATTAGCAGTTGCAACCTTCATTGAAGCCAAGAACAGAATAATGGATACCTGTTTTTTTGCTAAAGGTAATATTAAGTTATAGCTTCACAAATAATATAATATACTGTAACAAAAGTTCATCAATATTTTTGATATATTGATATGAGAAGACTATAGATGTACTAAATTCATAATGACTTAATATTTGTTTAGCAGCAATGACTATTAAAACATATGAGTTATGAATACTTTTCTGTAGCTAGGACATTCTTCTCACAGACATATCTAGCTGACATTTTTTTTTAAATTAGAAGTTGCAGAACAGCCATCACTACAAAAAGAAGGAAAATCTAAGCAAAAAAAATTATACATAGAATAAAAGATTGAATAACACAACTTAGGTGAAGTAGTGTATGCATATTTATACATGGTTCCTGCTGAAGGTTTGACATGATTGAGTTTTTATATGATCCTGCTTAACATAGGGTCAGAATTAGGTTCCTTAGAAGGCTAAGCAGTTCCTGTTCTACCAGTGACACCTGCCATGCTTCTTATGCAGGACAAACTCCATACTGGTTCCATCCTGTGGTAGAAATTAAAGGTATCTTGGATGACCTGAAGGATATCTATAACATGACTAAAGAGGAAATTCACAATATATACCATAATCCAACAGCCAGTTCTAGTCTGTCACCAGATATGATTACAGATGGGTTTAACGTTAATGTAAGTGTACATGTATGATTATACCATAATTTACAATTCTAGCAAAGTCTTTGTTTATTGATTAATATATACCTACCTGATAATAACCAGACTTCATATCCATGGTACTAAAGAAAGTTCTTCCTCCAAAACAATCAACAAGCACCTCGATTCTCGGCAAGCTGTAACTATCCTTTCTGTTGATGTTATTAAGCTAACGATAATCGACACACAGTCTCAGTCTGTTGTCTTTCTTCCTCATCACCAAGAGGACGTTGGATGCAAATGGACTGCGTGATGGCCTGATAGTCCCAGCATCAAGTAACTGTTGAAGGTGAACTCTTAACTTCATTGTAGGCTGAAGGTGGTATACTCCTATATCTCTGCATGTTTAAAGGGTTTGTCATCTATCAGATCTATGCGGTGCTGCACAATATCTGAATGGCTCACATTATCATCTTTCTTCAAAAAATAGGTCTGAATATGAAGTAACGAGCTGAAATCTTTGGTCATAAATATTGATTGTTTGATGTTAGTGTATTTAAATTATCTAAGGCTCAGTAATATATAATCCATTCATATACAAATAAAAAATCCTGAAATTTGGTATCAAGCCTAATGTGAACATTCTTTACAATGTTGAATCTTTGTGGAATACTTAAAAATGTTCTTAGATATATATATATATGCTTTGTTTGAAATGGTCTTTACATTTTTCTCAGTAAAAACAAATCAGATCTTTCTTAAATTTGGTATGATATTTATCTCAACATAGTTTATAAGATCTGAGTTATCTTCCTTTCAGGTCTTATTAACTTGGTCCCTTTTTAGCTCACCTTTTTGGGTCAGGTGAGCTTTTCTCATCACATGGCTCCCGCCGCCATCTGTTAACTTTTACAAAAATCTTCTACTGAAACTAGTGTGTCAAATGAAACCAAATTTGGCCTAAATCATTTCCCTGAAACTAAAGCATTAAGAGCAAATCTGACATGGGGTGAAAATGTTCATCAGGTCACAAGATTTATCTGCCCTGAAATTGAATTGTTCAGCTATGGTTTTAAAGAAATACTTTCACTTTACCATATATATTTGATCATTGTTAAATTAGTGTCTGTATCATAGCTGCAAGCAGTAAAGTTCCAATTATGATCACTTAAAATGTTTATATCCCGTTGTGGCTAGCTTTTGTTGTATATTGATCTCTTGCGTACATCTCAGTGTACAGTGTATGGATTGTGCCATGTAATGGGATGGTATGTTTTGAACTAAAATGTTTAACATCAATGCTTTTGATATTTTCATCTCATCTATTCATGGGGAAGCAACTCACTAGTAATATTATTGTATTGTATATTTACAGGGATCCAAGAGGTTCATTCAAGAGACTATCAAAGGAGTTGTAGAAGAAGTCAACTCAACATTATCTGGTGTAATCAACTTAGCTAAACCATTCTGGGAAAAGATCTCTCATCTCATGGACATGTTCAAGAAAATTAAACATGCTTATACATTTCTACGGGATGCGTAAGTCATACTAGTACTACAATTTATATCTTGTTTTGGTAGTATTGCTAAATTCTGTTTGTGTCCTTGAAAGTTGTGTTTTACATAATTTTGACACATTTTCAGAATGACGATGTATGTTAAATCTTATTTTCTGAAGAAATAGACTATAAAAATGAAAAAGTGTGCCCGAAAAGGTTGCGATAAGCCATTTCCAAGATATGGTAATTAGTTGAATCTGTCATGTTACTTCCATCACCATCTGACAAAAATGTATGGATTGCCAGTTCCAACACATGTTCCAACACATGTTGAGCAAACAGGTGAAAAGGTTTGATGTAATAATGCACAAAATATTTGGGAAATTAAAATCGATCCTTTTAGTCATACAGGAATTGAGATTTCCTATTTTCAAGAATATTATTTCTATACTACCCTGCAGAATATGATCCTGAAAACACATTAGACTTTTCAGGGGTGCCTTCTATCTGATGAGTGACGTCATAAGGGCATGCATAATTGATGAGCAAAATATTAAAAACATGATTCGAGAGCAGATACTGGATTTTTAATTAAATTGATATTTTTTCCAAAAACCTCCTTTCTGAAACCATTAAACTTGTTTTTTGCTTATAAACATAATGTCTGGAATAGATAGTGCTTTTTAAGGTTGCTGTTTATTACAAGTTTGCATCACTTTCATCTTAAACAGTATTCCTATGGATTGTTTAATAATTGTGAACTTAGTAACTAATAAGCTATTCTGAATGTACAATTATGAATTTTTGCAAATAATTTACACTTTTAAATGCAGATATCAAAAAGGAAAGTATTACATGCAGAAACTATTTGGGTCAAAGTTTCATCGTAATTTCCCCAAAATTCCTGCATCCTGCGGGGCAAAGTGTGGATGTGGAAAATATCCCAGAGATAACAAAGGAAGAAAAGGTGTAGATCTGGCATTTAAACCAGCTTATCAGGTATGTAAAAGGTATTGAAGATGTACTAAGAAATATCACAGATGTTAAAATTATGTGTAGTGTCAAACTTTGGAACTTCTAAAAGTTGTGATAGATAGTTACACTTATATCTTTCCAGTTGAAATTATTTTGTCCTTTGCAAACTTTATTATATTTTGTGTACAAAAAAAATAATTAAAAGAGTGTGGTTTGTGTATTATAATGAATACAACTAGACAATATTTAAAACAATACATTTTTTTATTACCAAAAGTAACCATTAAACAGCAGTATGTAAAAGATAACGATGACAATCCTTGACATTGGCATTCTGCCTTAACATTGGAGTTGAGCTTATTATGAAAATTTGGTAAAGATATGAATATAATACTTTTTTTGTTTGACAATAATTAAGCTCTTGGATGCTACAAGATATATTCTGGTGAGATTTCTGACACTAGTTACATTTATGCTGGAATATCATTTCAGTAAAGTATGTTGCCATGGTACTGTGGATTCATTTATTTTCGTTGGTATCAATTTTCATGGATTGAGTAAAACTTGCATTTTCGTGGATATTTGATTTCGTGGTTTTGCCAAAGTCTGCATATAACCTTATAGAAAATTTGTAATTCGTTGAACACTTAATTTCGTGGTTCACCTGTACCCACGAAATCCACGAAAATTAGTATCCAACGAATACTGATGAATCCACAGTATTAAGAAATACACTTTGCATTACATAAACGTAATTGCTGTCATCTAAATCAATTAGCAAAATATTTGTTTGAATCCAGATAAGTGTACAGGTAGTCCTTGCAAATAGAATTATGTTATGGAAAAAAGTAAAATAACAAAAATGCTGAACTCTTTGGAAAACTCAAAATGGAAAGTTCCTTGTCAAACGCCAGAAAAATCTCAAGCACATCAAACGAATGAAAAACAACTGCCATATCCTTGCTTGATGCAGGCATTTCCTTACATATTGGGAAATGCACAGACTTGATGGACCAACAAAATTATGGGGTTTGACTCTTAAGATTTCATTTCATAATAGTTTTGATAATGAATACAAATATTATATCAGTCAATTCACATTTATATTTTACAGAACGTAGTAAATCCATTCCATGGTATTGTCCATAGAATAAGTGACTCGGAAGTATTAGTACGTCCATCAAGAGCAGATCTGGCTATGTATGAAGTAGTGGTCAGTGGCTTTGAACTGGACATGGTTATTGATGAAGGTAAAAGAGGGACATTCATAAAGGCTGGCAAAAGGATTGGAGTATCTACAAAATTGTCTGAATGTGACACTAACTTTTTGTTTGTATCAATGAGGAAAAGACCAAACAATACCGAATCTATATCAGCTGATAGTTATTCTTATATTGATCCAGCTCCTTATCTGAAGAAGAGATTCCCACGGCCTCGTCACAAGTCAACGTGTAATGGTTTCTCCTATTATTACATCGGTATGAATGCAGAGGATGGAACAATGACTAAAGATCCTAAAGATAAGAAGGAAAAGATCAAACGTCCAACTAAGGGAAGTAAATCAAAGACACCCTTTGGTAAACGTGGCAGCAGTGGTCAAGGAAGTAAATCTAAGCCACCTGTTGGTCAACGTGGCAAAAATCGTCAGGGAAGGTCTGTTGAAAACCAACAAGAGCATCCAACATGGATGCAAACTTTCAAGGAGAAGTTTCACAATATAACTGGAAAGTTTGATAAATACAAGAATATATTGTCTAAAGTAAAAGTGAAGTAAGTATATAAAACTAAGGTAATTTTTTAGAGTAAAAAACATTAACCAATTATTGTCTAAGAAACCAATTATTGTCTATGAAACTAGCTGTTATTGTCTAAGAAACCAATTATTGTCTATGAAACTAGCTGTTATTGTCTAAGAAACCAATTATTGTCTATGAAACCATTTATTGTCCAGGAATGGACAAATAAGTTAATGATTAGGATTTATTGAATTCATAGTTCAATTAAAATAACGTTATTTATGAAGAAAATTTAATGGCTTTGTCTGGTTTATTGAAATATATATGCTTGTTTTATTTTTCATTTTGTGCTGACATAAGATAGAAAACTTCCAATGGGTTAAATGTCTCCTTGATTTTGACAATTAAAATATTTCTTGATTTGAAAAACACTTTTTAAATCCAAGGAATTCCCGAAAAATAACTGAATATTTTAGTTCTTCTCAATACTTTAAAGAAAACATATTGAAAAATCTTTTTGCATCCTCATTTGTCTGGGAGCAGCTGTCTGGGAGATGTTAGTTCACACACCTATTATTGTTAGGAATGTCTGATTTAGTGTACAGATGTTTTGTAATAAAGTAAGATGAAATAGCTCTAAATTGCTTCAAGTGAAAACATTAGGGGATAACATGTTAATATTTTTCATCAAAATTAGGTCAAGGTGACCTATGTTTCAACTTTACTGATCTCAAATTAACTATGACTTAATTTTCAGGTCATTTCTGCCAAAATTTCATATAGATGACAAGCCCCTGACAGAAATCAAGCACCTGTTAGCTGGCTCTCCATTGATACAACAGTTAGATGACATTGTTAAAGAAGTAGCACACAATCTCAGAACAGAACCATTAATGTATCCTGATGGGATGCCATTACAACAGATCAGACGTAAACTGAAGAAAGCTCATACTACAATAACAGGAGATAGACTTACTATGATTGACAAGTTACTGGAAATGGCTGTTGATGGTTTGTAATTTACGATGAAAATAGTTCAGATTGATTGAAAATAGCACAGGGCTTGTTGTATTTGGGCCTTTTATAGCTTGATGTGCAATATTGATTCATTAAATGACTAATAGTCTCAGGTGGATTGTTGTCTCATTGGCAATCATATATACCACATCTCCTAAAACGATAAACTTATTTAAAAGAGTTGGAAATATTATTTTATGGAAAATGGCCTCTTTAGCGCTCTCACAGGTACAATTTTTTTATAATAGTTATAATATAGTATATGTAATGCCCTTAAAGGTCTGTTTGAAATATTTAGTATACAATAAAAAAAAACCTGTTTTGTCCCCCTTGTATGCTATTTATTTATAAATTGTTTTTAAGAACAACAAACATTTTTTTTTAGATTTTGCCCCTGGATAAATCAAATATGTACAACCTGAGGGACATTGGAACTCTATTTTTTTATTCCAGAATGTGAACCTTTTGAACATGCCATAATAGCAGGTTACGGCCATTACTGTGAAGCCCATGAAGATTGCCATGGTATTATGTGTGGAATGGTCTTCAGGGATGGATTTAAGAGGACTTTGGTCAAGGTGGATGTAAGACTAGACAGCTGTTCTAATCAGCTTCACATCACAATAAAGGATCAAATGAAAAACTTTTCACTAACTTGTAAGTGGAAAACAATTCTTAAATATCATTTTGAAACTAATCTTTTAAGTCCTTTTTGGCTAATCTTCATGAAAGTTTACTTTATCTTATAGTTTTTTATTATCTTCTGAAACAAATTATTTTAGTTTTGGCTAAATTACATAAAATAAAATGGAGAATGGAAATGGGGAATATGTCAAAGAGACAATAATCCAACCAAAGAGCAGACAACAGCCGAAGGCAACCAATGGGTCTTCAACGCAGCAAGAAAATCCCGCACCCAGAGGTGGTCCTCAGATAGCCCCTTAATAAAATTGTGTACTAGTTCAGGGAAAATGGATGTCACACTAAACTCCAAAACATATAAATGAACAAGACTGACAAAGGACAGGGTTCCTAACTAGGGACAGGCACAAAAATGCAGCGGGGTTTAACATGTTTTTTGAGATCTCAACCCTTCTCCTATACCTCTAGCCAATGTAGAATAAAGAAACACATAGCAATACGCACAGTAAAACTCAGTTTAAAAGAAGTCTGAGTCCGATGTCAGAATAGGTAACAAAAGAAACTAAGCAAAATGACAATGATACATAAATGAACAATGGATTACTAGAGGTTGCTGACATGCCAGCTCCAGACCTCAATTAAATTGATTGAAAGATTATGTCTTCATCATATGAAAATCAAGTACAATCCCTCCCAACAAATTAACACTTGATATCCTACTAATTAGAAACTGATTTTTTATCTCAAAGTAAACTCCATTTCTCCAAATATACCAATGAAATGTATTTTTCCTAAACTACTCTGAAAACATTTAAAATGATCATTGTCCTTTTTGACCTTGACATTAGAATTTCTCAGAAATCTCAATTGCAGACTTTATGAAAAATGGAAATGTTTTTACCCTCCTATTGTGTAAATTTTCAAGGAATGCCCATAGTTACAATACTTACCCACACACCAGGATTCCCTCTTTTTCAAAAATTTGAAATCTCCCCATTTAGACTTAGAATTTTTCTCCAATATAAAGCTTATCTTCAACATTAAAATGTTTTATTTACAGCACAGAATCAGATCATCATAGTTGATATATCAAAGACGAAGAACAAGGAATAAGTGTTTGATATCAGTATTGACTCGTCAAACGCCAGAGTAAATGTTACATTATTTTATTTACAGCTCAGAAACATATCATGGTTGTTGATTTACCTAAGACAGATAACACAGAGTTAGTATTTGATATCAGTATTGAGACATCACAGGACAGAGTAAATGTTACATTATCTGGAGCAGTGTGTTCAACAACTCATTACTCATGCTTTGAAGATGTAGAACTCCTGAGAGATTTATCTATTGATACTAATAATACTGTGTGTTACAACAGTAAGTAATAAAGATGTAGAACTCCTGAGAGATTTACCTATTGATACTAATAATACTGTGTGTTACAACAGTAAGAAATAAAGAATTCATTAGATTTTACCGATGCCTACTCACAACAAAGTTTGTTACAATAGTAAGTTATGATTGAGGAAGAGACAAAGAACATTCAATATTCCTGTTAAGCATAAAAAAGAAAGAAATTGGGTTGAATACATATTAGATTGAAAAGAAGTAATATGTAGCTTAAGAACGATTCCACACACCTGTGCATGCATAAAGTTCAGTTGAGGACACCAGTACTGAGTTGTCCATTGAACAGTTGACATCCTCCTTAATTTCTTGTAATATTTGACTACTTTTTATACGACCGCAAAAAAATTTTGCGGTCGTATATTGGTATGACGTTGTCGTCGTCCGAAGACACATTGGTTTTCGCACTCTAGCTTAAGTTTAAGTGAATGGATCTCTATGAAATTTTACCATAAGGTTCAATACCATAAAAGGAAGGTTGGGATTGATTTTGGGAATTATGGAACCAACAGTTAAGGAATTAGGGGCCAAAAATAAGCATTTTTGTAACTTCCAGATATAACTTGTGTGTTAGTGTATGGATCTCTCTGACACTGTACCACAAGGTTCCATATCACAAAGGGAATGCTGGGATTGTTTTTGGGGGTAATTGCTTCCAAATTTTAGGAATTAGGGGCCAAAAAAGGGGAAAAAAACAAGCATTTTTCTAGTTTCATGACAATAACTTGTGTGTTAGTGTATGGATCTCTCTGACACTGTACCACAAGGTTCCATATCACAAAGGGAATGCTGGGATTGTTTTTGGGGGTAATTGCTTCCAAATTTTAGGAATTAGGGGCCAAAAAAGGAGAAAAAAACAAGCATTTTTCTAGTTTCATGACAATAACTTGTGTGTAAGTGTATGGATCTTTATGAAATTGTACTACAAGGTTCCATATCACAAAGGGAAAGCTGGAATTGAGTTTGGGGGTAATTGCCCAAAACGTTTAGGAATAAGGGGCCGAAAATAAGCATTTTTCTAGTTTCCAGACAATAACTTGTGTTCAAGTGAATGAACTCTCTGAAATTGTACTGCAAGGTACCATACCACAAAGGGAAGGCTGGGATTGATTTTGGGGGTAATTGCCTCTAAATTTTAGGAATTAGGGGCCAAAAAGGGGCAAAAAAACAAGCATTTTTCTAGTTTCAGGACAATAACTTGTGTGTAAGTGTATGGATCTTTATAAAATTGTACTACAAGGTTCCATATCACAAAGGGAAAGCTGGGTTTGAGTATGGAGTTAATTGCCCTAAACGTTAAGGAATATGGGGCCAAAAAAGGGCCAAAAAACAAGCATTTTTCTAGTTTCCAGACAATAACTTGTGTTCAAGTGTATGGATCTCTCTGAAATTGTACTGCAAGGTACCATACCACGAAGGGAAGGCTGGGAATGAGTTTGGGGGTGATGAATCATAAGGGGGTTCAAAAAATTAGGGGGGGGGGGGGTTCTTTTTTTTTCTTTAAAATTTTCCATTTTAAATTGGTTATTTCTGATTTATATATAAAAGCAAATAATAATGATATGGTTTGAATAGGTAAATTAAAAATTTTTAAGTTCTTAGACCACATTCATTCTGTGTCAGAAACCTATGCTGTGTCGAATATTTAATTACAATCCAAATTCAGTGCTGTATCAAGCTTGAATGTTGTGTCCATACTTGCCCCAACTGTTCAGGGTTCGACCTCTGCGGTCGTATCAAGTTGCGCCCAGCGGAGCATTTTATTCAGTTTTGATTTAGTAGATAGAGTTAAAAGAAACGTTCAACTGAAGCTTCAATAAAGTTATTAAATTACATCCATACAAGATTTAAGACATTTGAACAGAGACAGATTATAGAATTCAGGCCAAAATATTCCGTAATCACTTTTAAAGGTCAATATAAAAAACTAGAACAGTTCAAAATAATTAGGACTTTGACAGTAGCTGATTCTTTGTTTTTGCTGGTCTGACACATGCATGTGTGATAAAGGTAATCAGGGATTATAATTTATTATCTCCCTTATTCTTATATCATTGACCAAAAATAAATTAGAGTGATGAAAAAGAATAATTATTTAATTCCTCAATAGAGTGCTGGTTTTTTTTTTCTGTGATAATTTGCATAAAAATTGAGAAGATATTTGCACAGAAACTAAATGTGTTCAGTTTTAAGTTAATCATCCAAGTTTATTTACTCGTTTATTTTTTAATTACTTTTTCCTTATACCTCAGAACAAGCACGAGATCCATTTGAAGACAGAGTTTATTCCTTGACCTTACCTGACCTTCTTGAAGAAGTATCTGAGTTTGGTTTGGATATGACAAAGTGTCTAGTTCTTATTAATGAGATTAGAAATGCCACTTTGTATGCTGTGAGTATTTTCCATATTTTAATTTTAATTTAAAATGTTCACCATTGATTACAGATATGTAACTTATTATTTGTACATAATTGGTATTGAGGGTCTATTTAAAAAAAAAAAGACTTTCAACATTTTTAGGTTCAAAGTAATACTAAAATGTATGTAAAAATCGTTCACAATAACTATGGATGAACAATAAGGAGTAAGTTAAGAGAATACTTTATCAAGACCAGCTGTCAATGAGATTGCCATGCCTTTTTTAAACTCGTTTGAATGGATTTTGAAAATTTTATTAAAAGGGTCGAGTGAGTTTTTTTCATAACATTGCATCCTTTGTCTAGATAGAGAGCAACTGAAATCAGTGAAAGTGAAACACTATAATATAAAATTAACATATACGATCTTAGTCAACAATTATATTTTAGTATGTTCAAAATGCAGGTAGATCCAGTAGAGTGGCTTCAACTCTTTAGACACTCTTATTTTTGATGCCCCACCTAGGTACATTATGTTTATGGGTCTGTGTGTCCGTTTGTCCACCCGTCCCTCCGTCTGTCCGTCTTCAGGTTAAAATTTTTGGTCAAGGTAGTTTTTGAAGTCAAATCAACTTGAAACTTTGTACTCATGTTCCCTATGATATGATCTTTCTAATTTTATTGCCAAGTAAGAGTTTTGACCCAAATTTCAGGGTCCCTTGAACATAGAAAATGATAGTGCGGGTTCGGCATCCGTGCAGGGCTTCCAAAAAATCTTTGATGTTTGAGCCAGCCGGACATTTTTTGTCTTATTCTGATTTTAATCTCTTAAGACTTAGTTACAAAAGACAACTATAGTAATCAGTTGGCCATCATATAACCAATGATTTGAAGTGTGCAACATCAGTGTGCTAATATCTGCCTTAGACTCTTTATTTGTGCAAAATAACGTTGTCAAAAACTTTACTTTCGTTTTTGAAAAACACATTTTCCTAATACTGGATGTTGACTTGACAATATGGTAAAACATGGACCAGATACGGATACGTAAAATCCGTGTGCATTTTCAAAGCACGATTGAGTTTCAGTAGCTCTCTCCACGTTATTTCTTCAAGAAAATACTTGAAATGAAGGTTAGATAAATGAATCAATGATAATTTTAGCATTTTGGAAGAGCAAGGATGCATAATTAAATTTCCCACCTGCGCACATGCGCACTAGCTCTAACAATGTGGTTCTGACAACCTTTTTAAATTTTTCATCAAATCATATTTATATACCAGTTGTAAACGTATTTCTTATAATTTTAATCTTTCTCAATAAAGAAATTAGATGTAAACCGCTGAAATGTAAGAAAATATCTTTGAATAGACCAATCAATGTCTGGTACAATCTATAGTTTACCTGTCACCTGAACAGGTAAAGTTCAGCTGTCAGACAACTAATTAACCTTGATTATAATGAGAAGGTATTAAAGTTGGGTTTGTTTTGATAGTACTTATTCACCATGTCACTTTTATGACCGGAAATGTCTGGCTGTTGGCAAAAGGTCGGGTCAAAAAGATCGCAAAAACGTCCCAATTTTTTGGTGAATTATGCTAAGACGACCGTCTCTTGAAAAGTAGATGACCGTTTCACGCTTATCCCAGATGGACAATGTCAAGAATATATGACCGTTTTGGAAGCCATGCATCCGTGTACTATGGACACATTCTTGTTTAAATCAGTATTATCCATAGATACCACTTGAACAAAACAGACTAATTTATTATACACATTTAAACAAAATTCTGTAATGTATTTTAGTTGATGGAATTGAGAGAGAAAGGTGAACATGTTGATGGAGAATTTCCTGAGAAAGAAGATTTTTGTTTTGAAGGAAGTCTTCCATTGGCAGAATTAGATATGCAGATTATTAATCCAGGACCTAATAAGATGTTTGGCTTTACTCCTCCTGGTATCGAGTTCCAATTCTTTGTTGGACCAGTAGCATTAGAGTTAGGTAATTATAAAATAGGATACAGTCATAGCTACTGGTATCGGGTCCTGATTCTTTGTTGGACCAGTAGTATTAGAGTTAAGTAATTATAAAATATGATACAGTCATAGCTACTGGTCAGACAACAGCTTTTGACCCCCAATACTTAGTTTTACTAATAGCACAACAAAGAGAGTTATAGTGGTTTATATAGATCAGTACCCAGCCTGTCTATCATTGTCTATCATACTGATATTATGTTCATAACATAGAATAGCTGTTGTTTTGTTACAATGGGCATATAATTTATTCATAGCACTGAAAAACATAGTCTTTATTGTTTTTGTTGTGGACATTTGCATGAAAACAAATATCAGAAATTCATATATGTTTTTACAGCCAAGGAAATGAAAAAATTAATATGCAGTAATACTGTATACTGAAAATATTCCCTTCGTGATTATTATATTTCTGGAAGAAAAACATTTTGATATAAAACCTTGCAGATAGGGTATTTAGGATCCCAAAATTTGATCTCTGTCAAATTTAATTTCTGCAAAAATAACCCTTTTTATGTTATAACATAAGATTGGGGACCAGTCTGTAAGGAGACCACAACACAGCAACATAAAAACCACAAGA